GAAGTAGATGAGGTCTTTTCTTTTTCAGGTAATTGGAAGAAGGTTCATGGCCACAGGCCCTGGTCCTCATGCGGGACTTTAATCACTCCACTATGTGTTGGAGGGACATCACAGCAGGGCACAAGCAATCCTGGAGGTTTCTGGAGTGCATCAGTGACAACTTTCTGATACAGGCGATCGAGGAGGGGCTCTCTACCGGAGCTCACACTTTCAAGCAAAGAAGAGCTTGTCAGGGATGTGAAGGTTGGGGTCAGTGCAGTGACCATGAGATAGTGATGGGATCTTGAGAGGAGAGAACAAGGCAAATATTACAGATCACAAACTGGACTTCAGGATAGCAGACTTGGGTCTCTTCAGAGACCTGCTTGGAAGAATCCCATGGGTCCTGAAGAGAGGAGGAGCCCAGGAGAGCTTGTCAACGTTCACCTCCAAGCTCAAGAACAGTTTAACCATCCATTCCAACATGCGGGTAGTCAAGCAAGGGCAGCAGGAAGCCTGCATGGATGAACAAGGAACTTCTGACTAAACTCAAACAGGGTTTGTGACCCAGGTGAGGTGACCTAGGATGAATATAGAGACACTGTACAAGTGTGCAGGTATGGGGTTAGGAAAGCTGAAGTCCATCTGGAGTTGAATCTGGAAACGGATGTGAAGGGCAACAAAATGGGCTTCTACAGCAGCAAAAGGAAGACTAGGGACCCACTGTTGAGTGGGGCAGGGAACCTGATGACAAAGGACGTGGAAAAGATGGAGCTACTCAAAATGCCTTCATCTCAGTCTTTTCTGATAAGACTGGCCTTCAGGAGTCCCAGGTCCCTGAGATCAGTGGGAAAGTCTGGAGCAGGTAAGACTTACCATGGATGGAAGAGGATCAGGTTGGGGAACATTTAGACAGACAGGACAGATCCGTGAGGCCTGATGGGATGCACCCATGAGTGCTGAGGGAGCTGAATGATGTATTGATGCCACTCTTGATTATCTTTGAAAGATTGCTGGGATTGGGGAGGTTTGTGAGGATTAGAAGAAAGCAAATTTCACTCCTATTTTCATGAAGGGCAAGAAGAAGGATCTGGGAAAATAGTAAGTCAGTCAGTCTCCCTTCAATCCCTGAGAAGATGATGGGGGAAATCATCCTGAAAACCGTTTCTGAGCATATTAAGAATGACAAGTGACTAAGTAGTCAGCATGGATTTAAGACGGTAAGATTGTGCCTGACCAATGTGATAGCCATATACAGTGAGATTACGAGCTTGGTGGATGAGAGGAGAGGAGCGGATGTTGTTTATCTTGACTTTATCAAGGCTTCTGACACTGTCTCTTATAACATCCTCATTGGCAAACTTGTGAAGTATGGCCTAGGTAAATGGACAGTGAGGCAGTTTGAAAACTGGCTGAACTGCCAGGCTGAAAGGCTTGTGATCAGCAGCACAAACCGTAGCTGGAGGCCAGTCACTAATGGTGTACACCAGTGGTCAATACTGTTTAATATCTTCATTAATGATCTGGATGATGTGGCAGAGTATACCCTCAGCAAGTTTGCAGATGATACAAACCTGGGAGGAGTGGCTGATGCACCAGAGGGTTCCTCTGCTGTCCAGAGGGACCCCGACAGGCAGGAGGAGTGGGCGGACAGTAACTTCATGAAGTTCAACAAAGGGAAATGCAAATCCCTGCACCTGGGCAGGAATAACCCCATACATCACTACACTGGTGATGTGTGGGCACAGCAGAAAAGCAGCTTTGCAGAAAAGTACCTGGAGATCCTGGTGGACACCAAATGAAACATGAGCTAGTAATATGCCCTTGCAACAAAGGCAGCCAACAGCATCCTGGGCTGCATTTAGAATAGTGTTGTCAATAGGTTGAGGGAAGTCATCCTTCCCCTCTACTTGGCCCTGGTAAGAGGCTACATCTGGATTGCTGGGTCCAGTTTTGGGCTCCTCAGTACAACAGAAACATGGACATACCAGTGCAAATTCAGTGAAGGGCCACTAAGATGATTAAGGGACTGGAGCATTTCTCATCTGAGGAGAGAGTGAGAGAGCTGGGACTGATTAGCCAGGAGAAGAGAAGGCTCAGGGGGATCTCATCAATGTGTATAAAATACATGAAGGGGATGAGCAAAGAAGGTGGAGCCGGGCTCTTTTTAGTGGTATCAAGTGAAAAAGAGGCACAAACTAAAATACAAGAAATTCCATTTAATCATAAGAAAAGAAAAGACTTTTTTACTGCGTGGGTGGTCAAATGCCAGAGCAGATTGCCAGACAGGTTGTTGAATCAACCACCCTTGGAGATACTCAAAACCCAACGGGAAGTGGCCCTGAGCAGTCTGCTTTAACTGACCTGCTTTGAGCACGGGGGTTGGACTAGGGGATCTCCAGAGGTCACTTCCCACCTCAACTATTCTGTGTTTCTGTGGTAAACTAAGGAAGGACTTCCAGAGGAATCGCATTAGCTGTGTAGAGGAGCCAGGGACAGACAGCTCTAAGCCAGCTGTGAAAGAAGTGGAGTTGATGGTGACTATACTGATGAAGGTTTTAATTATTTTTTCCTTGCCTTTAAATAAGAGTAATATTTTTCACTGTGGAAATATAGTTTGACCTATGTTTGGTGTCAAAGGCCTGTTCCTGATTCTTAGGTTGAAATTCTTTCAGGGTATTAATTACATCTATTGCCTGCATATTCCCTAAATTTATTTTTAATATTCCCTAAAACAATATTGCAAACTAAATAAAACTAATAAATCTAAAGAAAATGTTGATATAGGAAGCATTTTACGTAAACTCATTAAGTGAAGGGAAGGGGTGAAATTCTCCCTTTCACTTGAAAAACTACCATTCTTTTTGAGGGAAATCTCAGTCTGAAGCCACTTTACTTTTTTATCATAGATTTTATCACATTGATAATGGCTTGGTATTGTGTTTGTACCTGTTAGAAGCAGAGGGAGGCAGAAGGTGAATGCTGTATGTCAGAAGCAATGAAGGACACAGTAGCGTGGGATAGAAATTAATATTCTTGAGCTATCTGTTTCTTTGGTTTGACAGCTGCTTTGTTAACAAATGACACTGTGGTGTTTGAGTTCCATTATACATGTAGGAGCTTTGTAATGTTCTTCCAGAAAGAGTGGTCAAAACACTCGGGTTGCTCAGAGATGTTGCGGAATCTTCATCCTTGGAGATACTGACAATACCCTGGACAATGCCTGAGCAAGACAGTGTAACTCAAGAGTTTGACCCTGCTTTGGGCACTGCACTGGACCAGATAACCTCCAGGAGCCTTTCCAACCTGAGTTATTCTATCATTTCATGAAAATGTTATGTAAGCAAATGCATTTCCAGGCCTTAATAATTCCCTCTAACTGTGTTAAACTGTAAACAGGAAAGCAAAGTAAATACTCACTTTTTGCATGTCGTAAAGTCAACTTAGCTCACCCCTCCAAGGCCCTATAGCCACAGGCTTGTTGGAGGCAGTATTATGGTTTTGCTCTTTCCATATAAACGTATTTTTAGAATTAGGCACAAAGTTCAGGGGCACTGAGACTAGAGTGTTTATTCAGACTTGCTTGAGTTTGAAGTGTGCTGCTATCTGAAAAACTTTTTATTTTGTTTTATAGTTGAAACAAATCTGTTACAATTATTAATGAAAAGTCAGAAACTCTTCGTACAAAAAAAGTAAGGGTCCTTTAAGAGGAAGAAGGAAAATGTAGTACTTTGCTGTGCTTTTGAGTGATTCTCATTTTGTTGCGACTGACCTAGCTTTTGGCCATGCTTTTGGAATGCTGTGCTTTTTTACATTGCCATAAAATATGTACAAGTTATTTGTCATAAATAAGAAACCATTTCTGATAGGTATATATTTTCCCAAGGACTCAATCTCCAGTGTCTTAGAAAAGCCTTTTTTTCAGGAAGGAGCACAGGCAGACAGGATGACAGAGTGAAGAGTATGAAGCAAATTTCCTCACCTATGTAGAATATTATTAGAGGACTTTTTGGCAATGTTCTCTTAAAGGGTTGTAATTTTAACAGTGACTGAACTAATTATCTGTGCTGAATTGCTTTTTCTGGTTCTAGGGGGGGAATACTTCTTTTCTGTAGAAATTGCTTATGTGGACAAGCTCTTGCATTTAGTTGTCACAGTGCTGTGACAGGACCTCCCAAACCCAAGAGTGGCATTACGTCTCTTTATTCATTTGCTGCTAGGGAA